TGCCCCATGTTGTGCCCCAACTGTAATATTAATGATAATGATTTGGCAGACAAATAAAATTAAGTGAAATATAGTTTCTGATACAACGAAGGCATACTTTGATATTTTTATCTCAAACAATTTGACAACAAATAATTAAAATGAAATAAATTCAAATTCAAAACAAAAAAAAAAGAATTTTCATTCTTAGATATTTCGCAAAAATTTCTTAAAATTTGATATACCTATTTCTGATGATAAAATATTTCATCCCATTTTCGACACCATAACCAACGGCTATTATAGCATGATTCATTTGATTTCCCTCAGTTGGACAAGATGGATCATTATAAATACCGAAAAATATGATTATGGAATTAATTAAATTTACCATTTTTCTATATGCTTCCAATTTGCATTTCTGAATGATTTATTGTTGACTGTGTTTTTCATAATTTTTTCCAACAAATTACTTACCACTTGCATAATTCTGAAAACTTGACTTTGTTGCATGTAGTGATACAGAAACTGGGCCATACACCGCCAATACTCTCTTGATTATTTCTTCATTGTCAAACGGTAACAAAATACTGCCAACTAATCCACCCTTTATTCGTTGGTTCGCTTTTATCGGACATGAATAACTGTCCCGTTCCTTATACGGATAATTTCGATCGGTCGTTACACCGTGGTCAGCAATCCAATCAAAAACCTGAAAAAACATTGATTATCCTTCACAGATAACAGTTGACCAACTAATTAAACAACAATAAATTTTTACACACCTGACTTGAACTTCCACCTTTTCCGTCACATCCTTGCAAGTCACTGCAATCCACAATATCCTGAACTGATAGCTTTACGATATTCTGCTTATTTCTGAGCGCTATATACATTTCGAGCGTTGCTAATGCCGTAAAAATGAAACATATTCCACATTTACCCTAAAAATTTGTTTCGTTTCATAATAATATACAAATTATCTGGTGAATATAATGAACAAAATGAATAAACAAAAAATTGGCGAAAAAAGAAATTGATTTAAATTGGTATTCTTGATACCTAAAAAAGAGAATAACTTTACTTACTTGATTCACTACCGGTACTGTACCGACTATCCTCCTATAATCAACAGAGTTTGGTATTGATCCGTATAGCTTTTGTCCCAATATTTGGCTCATATTTGCTTCCACTCCTCCAGCCCTATTTAAAACATATCCATGAAGCCTTTCTTTCTCTTCCCACGTCTATAAAAAAGTTAGATAAATCTGGAAAAAAAAGTAAAATTGGAAAAAGAAAGAAAACAATCGAATG